AAATATACCACATGTTTAAGCTGATTCAGTTTCCTGGCTATTGTGAATAAAGCAGCGATGAACATGGGTGAGCAGAAATCTGTATCCAGAGCAGGATCCAGAGTAGTTTCACTCCCAAGAGTTGTGTAACTGACTAATAAGGTAGAGTTATTTTTACATTTTTGAGAAACCTCCACCCTGATTTCTATCACGAATGTACTGGTTTACACTCCCAGCAGCATGGGAGGTCCCTCCATCTTCTGGTATCTTCTTCACTATTTTTAGTGTCTTAAAGCTTTCACTATATAAATCTTTGGAGAAATTTATTCCAGGTTTTGTTTTGCTTTGCCTTTTGTATGTTTTGTTTTCTGATATATTTCTGAATGTGTTTATCAGTTGTAGAAAGTTTCTGGTAACATCTCTAGGGTATTTTACATATAGAATCGTATCACCTACAAATAAAGGTACTTAGACTGTTTTCTTCTGATTTGCATCCCTTTATGTCCTTCACTTGTCTCGCTTGTCCGCTAGGACTGTGGGATTGTATTGACCAGGGTTGGAGAGAGTGTTGTGCCTGTTCCCATGTCCTTTAATTTGAACCACTTAACCTCTGACTGTTTCCTTGCTCGTGATGTCAAGGTTCACTTTGTAGATTTCCTGCCTCAGAGACCTATCATTTCTTTAATAGTTTTGATGCTGTAAATGGATGATGGAACCCAGAAGCTACATTCTAGGGCTCAGGCACTTGCTACTGCCAGTGAGTCATTACTCTTAGGTCTTTTCACTCAGTAAACATACCTAGAAAGCAGTTTTTAAAATGATACTGCCATTTCAAGTTTACATTACTTTCATGATTGTATTTTCATAGGATGAACTTGTCATTTATCAAAAACAAAGGTTAAAGCCAGGTGGTGGTGCATGCCTTTAATCCCAGCACTCAAGAGGTAGAGGCCAGCCTGGTCTCCAGAGAGAGTTCCAGGACAGCAGGACTATATGGAGAAATCCTGTCTCAAAAAAAAAAAGAGAGAGAGAGGTTGCAAATCTTCATTTTTCCATCCAACTTTGAAATATAAAAGCCTTCCTCAGAAGAGGTTCCCCATGCCTGGATTGGTAGCACAGTTTACCTGTTTTCAACCAAGATTGGGATGGCTTCATCTTTAGTGTTATCTGATACATTTAGAATATATTATACTGGTGTAGATTGTAAAATATAGATCAATTTTCCCCAAAATGCCCATCTAGTTGTGCAATACTACAAACCAAAAACAGTCTCTTTATTCTCATATGCTAATACTCATCTCCTTTCAAAAAAGTATTTTAAACATTTATGTTGGTCTGTATATCAACTCGAGTCAGTACTGAATTATTTTAGTTGAAGAGGCTTCCCTCACCCTTAAGTATACTTTATGCTTTTTGTTTTATTTTTGTTTGGCTGATTATTTTTAAAGAAGTAAAACTGTCTTTTAGATAATATAATTTTAAACTAGACAGCCTCAAATCAATACTAAAACTAACATAATAACAATAGAAATTCAGAGAGCATGATATAAAACTCAGTAAATAAACCTGATACTTTTACATATTTAAACAAATTAGAAGATATGATAGACGGGAACATCCCATTCATATGAACAATGTCAAAGATGAAATATTTGATAATGCAAGAAATGTACAAACAGTATGGAGAAAGCATTAATATATTTGTGAATTGCACAATTATCTTGAAGAAGTGATACAGTCTTTGCTTTGTGACCAATGTAAGTAATATGTGAATTTAATAAGATTTCAGTTAAAACGGAGGTTTCTTTCCTTGGCATCAGATAAACTGATTTAAATTCACATGAATCATTTAAATAAATCCTAGAAAAGTCTTGAGAGGAAGGAAGGAAGAGAAACCAGAAGAAATGAGCACAACTGAATATCAGTCCTTATTCCATGATGTAGCTGGGAGTGGGGCTCAGAGTGTTTGCACTTAGCTGGCACATGGGAGAGCCTGGCTGGGTGTCCGGCCCCATGTGCTTCTTTCTACTGTTTTCTACATTTCAGAAGCACTTGCAGTTTTAGTACATCCAGCCTTTTATTAAACTTAACCAATGCTCCCTGCCTTGTGCAACTATATTCTACTGGGATATAATGGTTTTTATTTCATTTCCCATAGGCAAGTGTCTTATTAGGGTTTCTATTGCTGAGAAGAGACACCATGACCATGTCAACTCTTCTAAAGGAAAACGTTTAACTGGGGCTGGCTTACAGTTCAGAGAGGGGTTTAGGCCACTGTCGCCATGGCGGAAACATTCAGGCAGACATGCAGACATGTGCTGGAGGAGGAGCAGAGAGTTGTACAACAGGAAGAGAGAGTGACTCTGGGGCTGACATGAGCTTCTGACACACTTCTTCCAACAAGATCACAGCTCCTTCTAGTGCCATCCCCCGTGAGCCTATGGGACCATGTTCATTCAAACCACCACACCAAGTAACCAAAGCATAATCCCTTTATTCTTGTCCTGCTGGGCCGTTTCATGTGGTCTGGTGGACATCTGTTGGAGGAATGTCTTTCTCTCTAGACGGATCAATTATTTTTAGGCCTTCAAATGGTTACATGAGGCCAATTTACATAGTGGAGAGTGATTTACCTTATTTGGGTTCTTCTGGTTTAACTGTTACTACCACCCAATAAAATGCCTTCAAAGAAACATCTAGACTAGTGTTTGACTAAGAATCTGGATACCACAGCTTAGCCAAATTAACATGTGAAGTTAACCAGCACAGTAAACCGCGTGTGTGTTTTCAGATGTTGCATGCCAATAAATTGAAAGTAAGACCTAGTAGATGAGGAAGCTGTTTCAGATGTCCTCTATAGTGATTGCTTTGTACATGTTTTTAACTTCAGCCTTCAACAAACATGTGCTGCTATATTTCAAACTGTTATTGTTACATGCCATTGAAACTTAAAACTCTAGATTATAATTTATATGATCCATTTCTAAAATTTATGTCTTTGGGGTCTGGGGAGATGGTTCAGTGGTTAGAGTGCTTGCCACACAATCCCTGAGGACTGTATTCAGATCTGCAGAACCTGACTTAATGGCATCCTGCCAGCGACCCAGAGCCCATGCAGTGGAGATGACATCATAGAGCAAGCCATAGCTAGACTGGTCATTAGTATCTTTTAGCTCTGGGCTTAAGTAAAAGACTACTCTATGTAAGGTGGCATGCAATAGAGGAAGATACCCAATGTCAGCTTTGGCCTACACACACACACACACACACACACACACACAGTTTCTAACATATAACTGGAATCTTGTGGGTTGTTTTTATTTTGTTTTGATTTTTAGGTTTTTTTTTTTTTCTCCCCCTGGGTATAATTTTTTGTAGAAACTCTAAGAATGTAAGTGAAGGAAGCATTTTGTTTTGTTATCCTTTATTTCTAACTAAACAAGACGACTCTCATTTGGAAACAAATGAGCCATGCTACATTCTTCTCGTTAATGGCAGCTAGGAAAGTTGTAAGATGTGGGGGACAGTAGAAATTGCACAAATTGACAACAACCAAAATTATTTAAATATCTTCTAATCCTTATTTGTCTTTTTTTTTTCTTTTTTTACTTAAAGATAAAGTTAATCCATGAACGAGTACCTTTTCCTCAGAGTTTCCTTTAACATTTTACATTTAAGCAAAAGCCCTGCTTCATTTGATATTTCTTTTTTCAGTACAGACAGTTGTGTTTTATTACTCTGTTCCATCTTTTATCTTTGAGTACCAAATAGCCACTCAGAAAGCATTAGTTGGTTGGACCAAGGCTCTAAAGTATTCCACATGTTATTGGCAAACAATAAATACTGAATATGTGGGAGGGGTGGTTGTTCTTGTATTGTTTGAAGGCCTGTTTTATTTTGTAACTGAATGGTTGGGACTGCGTCAGACTTGTAATTCTCCTGTCTCTAGAGGACTGTGACAACTACCCTCAGCTTCCTCAGTCCTGAGATTACATGTGTCACCACACTCAGCTCCTGAAAAAAAAAAAAAAAAAAAAAATGTTTAAGTGAGGCAAAGCTATATCCTTAAAAATATCATGGCTTCTTTTTAAAGATACTATGTCAAAGTAGCATAAAGCTAAAGCTTTGTCTGGCTCTCACTTCACCCCTTTTGCTTTAAGAATAATCAAATAAATACTTACAAAAGAAGGGAGCGTAACATTTTCCTTAAACTAGGAATCTGTTAATTGCTGTTAGTAGACTTTGTAGTTCTCACCTCCAGTGTCTGTGTGGCATCCTTTAGCATTATTTGAACAAAAATATTGTAGTAAATTTACAATATTAGCTCATGTGTTTACTACTGGACAGACACTAGAAAGTAAGTGAGACCCATACCTGTGTTCATTTTTAGCTTGTGCCTGACTTTGAACTAGTGTCTTACAGATCAGATGCAGGATCGTATATACTTGACAGGGTACTTATGACAAAAAGAATGCAATAAAGGACACTGGAAACAGAAAGACAAATCCACATGTGATAAAAGGATATTTCTCAAGATTTACCATTGTAAAGAGGAAAAAAGCAGAACTTTCTGACATTCTATAGTTATTGAATAAATATGAATATATCACAGTAGGAAGTTACAGCAAAGAGAAATTCATATTATTTATTTATTCTTTTGCAAAAATAAGGAAGCAGTGATTCTTTCACAGCTTTTATGGTGTTATATTATAAATCTAGTGACCTCAAGTCAGAAATACAACTTTCCCAGAAGGATTGCAGCAGAGACCAGATAATGGTATAATGGCAGGATATGACTACATCGCCAATTGTTGCTAGATGCCACCTGAATGGGAAAAGCGGTTAGCTGACCTTAAATTGTGTGTCTTAGTTAGCTAAGTTCACCAACTGTTCCGGACCAAAGAATCTGTGACAATTGGGATGGGTCTTACCTTCTGAGGAGCATGTCTCTCTTATAAACTCTGTGATGTTTTCACATAAAATGGGCATAATAACCAAATATGGTTCTTTGCTTTCTGCAGCATTCATCAGCATAGAAAGAAGGCCTTGCATCCAAGTAGACGCACCACCAATGGTAAGGGAATCTCTCTATCTATCTATCTGTCTGTTGTTAAAACTGGTTAAAAAAAAAAAAAAAACTACAAAATGGTGCTGTCTGATGACACCATTACTGAAACTCTTTTAACTTCTCTTTTCCAGAGTTATAGCCCTACAAGGAAATTAACTTCATAATTTCCAAGTAAAGAAAGCCCAATTTTTCCAAAATGTAGGAAAATAAGATACAATATTTTACAACTACTTGTTCCTATTAACCTAAAATAATTTATACTTTAATAATGTAAATTATAATATGATATTTGCATTTCAAATAAATTATTTTCTGGAATAGCATTATTTAGGGTAGATGTTTTATAATAGTAAAAAACATTCCCTAATGCTTCATTTCCCTTAAAAGTTACTTTACTGTATTTTTATGGGAGTGAAATTTTACCCTTTATCCCTTTTCAGTTAGTACTAGAAAACAAGAGATATTTGATTGTTCTGTTTACTATAGTAACGTACATAGAATGCTATACATGCTTGTATAAAATATGCCTAAGTAACTAGTTTCCAGTTGATATTTTCCTAAAATGGTATAATCTAGAATACATCTACTTTCCTTTCAACATAATCTTTTCATCCTTTATATAAGTCTTCCAAGCTCTTCAAATAACTCACCATTTCCTATTGTGAGAAACATCTCACAGTTTTAAATAAAGACAATATTGAACTGCATTTGGATATTTTCTTGTGATTAATATTTGCCTCCCTAGAAAATTAACTTTGTTTTCTATCTGATTCATTTAATGTGTTTTATCAGTTAAGGCATGCTAAATATGGGAATGTTAGTCGCCAGCATAGCTATAAAAATGTTCAGCTGCAGGCTTGCTCCAGTTTCCCTTAGAAAGCACACTAAGAAAACAGCCACAATTTTGGGTGAGTTTTAATTCATAAAATTAGAATATATTTGAGTAATGTACTCAGTCTTTAGATTACTTATATACTTAAAATAAAATTTTAACCTTATAGGCACCTCTGTCATATTTCTGATTCTTTATAGATTGCCCTGAAAAGTGAAACCTATCAGTTTTCTTGTATATCCAAACTTGTATTCCCCTGACCTGGAGAGCCCATGCCTTAAAGCCATTGTGCGTGCGTGCGTGTATGCGTGTGTGTGTGTGTGTGTGTGCGTGTGTGTGTGCGCGCGCGCACACCCAAAAATAAAATAGAAAGGCCCAAGATTTGAAAATGGCTGGTATTGGGCCCAGAGTACCATCTTGACCTTGTCTGGAAACCCCAGTGCCCATCATTCCTACCGTTAGTGTTCTTTCCCCCTCTTGCTCCTAGTACCCCAGTAAACGGTCCATGCATGGTAGAGTGCTAAATGCTAGTTGTAGCTATTTAGCAAGTGAGGCCAATGAGTAACTGAGATTTCTCAAACCTCTGTTCCATGGAATGGTGTGCTTCTTCATAGTCCCAGGTGGAATTCTGAATAGGTTTCAGTTAAATATATGGTTATAGGGCCGATTTTGCTTTTTAAACACTGTAATGTTGTGTCACATAAGTAAATATAGATTAGCCTGAAAACAAAGCCACCTCTGTACCTTGTTCAACATTGCCTAGCCCTCTTTTCAATTTACATATTTACTTTTTTATTTTCATTTGTTACATGAACTTTGTTGTGTTTGGAGAGGGGGACTGATTGTCTTTGGCATACATAATACCCCGTTTTTGCTCTGCCTTTAATAGTAGTTGAGGGCTGTGCCTGAACGGATTGGTACCTGCATCAAAATGAATCAAACCTCCCTTTTTATTTTGTGTGATGAGCTGAAGTTTTGTTCTTCTTGTTTAAGAAATGGGGATGGAATCTTTGGCCTCACAGATGTTAGGCAAGTGCTCTTCCGCTGAGCTACACTCCCAGCTACACACATGCAGAGTTTATAATTTTATCTATACCTAAGAATACATTTCCAAGTTATTATTTCAAGAAACAAACAAAAAAGATAAATTAAATACTTAAGCCTACACATCTAAAACTATCTCTCAATTGCCTTTGTGTAGTCATATTTTTATTTGGTAGCATAACTTTTTCACTTTTAAAAGTGGCAGAGTCTTAGGCAAGTTATTCGACATTAGCCTGATATTCTGTTGTACATTATAGACTTTATTTTATATGTTCCTAATATCCCAGTTCTGATTTGATGGTTAAAACTAACTTTCTTCTTGTTGGCTTTTTTTTTTTCTTTTTGCTGAACAGTATTCACTTAACACTGCACTAAAAAGCAAACGAGGTTTAATAGATTATATGAAAATAATTAGATTATGCCCTTTAAAGACTACTCTCTGCACCTGCCAAAAGCCTGTGGCAAGTTAAGGATAAACTATCAGCCTCCAATTTTTCAGAGGTCCTTGTCTGAACCCTGAAAGGCAGGTGTAAAAGTTAGTTAATAGTTAAGTCAGCACAGGCGTGAGTCCTTTATTTGCTTTAAAAAAGGACTTATTTGCAAATCAAAAAGAAACACCAACCAGCATGAGTAAATATTTCTCCAGAACACAGTTAAAACATACCTGCCTTTTAATATGTTGCCATATGCAATGCATGTCATTTTATATTTTGTGGCACATTATTATGCTTGCAGAAGACATTAATAAGTAGTAGGTCATACCAAATGTACACATGCTTCTTTTTTGTTTTTTAATCTCCTCAATAAAATGATAAAGCAAAATGCAAACAATATTAATATGGCCTATTCTGATGAGTGACTTGAAGGTTTGCCAAGTTCCTTTAAAATCTGTAACAATTATTAATATGCATTGCTCTTAATTTGTTCAGTGATCCTGTTACTGAGCACACATTTTCTTTTAGTAGATGGATTTGGAGTAGTTCGTAAAATTACAGCTCATATTTTCTAAGAAGTTTATATTTTACACATCCGCTTCAACAGGTTCAGACAAAACACAGTCTGTCTCATTAGATTTGTGCCTGTTGTGAAATACCAACTATTTGTCAAAGCAGCCCTTTCTTTCATCATTAGGATTAAAAATATATACCTTGACTTGAGTTTTAAATGTTACATCAATAGTTGTTCTTACTTTCATTCTTTAACTTAACAATGAATCTTTAAAGGCTAACTGATACATTTTTGTCACATGACTTATTAGTATTAAACCTTAACATCTTAGTCTTATTTTGCTACTTTTTAAATATTTGAGATGTCTCTGATATTGCATGGCCTCAACACTGAATTTGTTCATAAATTTACCGATTGAGTCATACAAAGTAAATTTTATTTTGTCTCTTTGATATTTTATATCTCACATTCTGTGGCCTTTTGAGTCATTGTTGCTATATTGTTACCATTGTTTAGTCCTTGATGTTGACAAGAATCCTACATATTGTATTACTACACTTTGTATAATAATTTTATATGTGTGTGTTTATGTAAAATATGACAGTTTTGTGTTTAATTTATTATTTTAATATAGCTAAATGTATGGATTTAAATGAAATGCCTTGATTCAAAGGGCATACTTTATCTTCTCCAATGTATAGCATTTTCCAGGAATTCATAGCATGTAAACTAAGGTGACTATGCCCCTATAAAACTCATAAAATAGAACCTCTGGTTGATCTCTTCCTGTAGGTAATTGCAGGGTGGAGAGGGAACCTGTAAACTGTAAGCTTTTATAGCTTGTCATAAAAGAGCCTGTTTTCATTTATCAATGAAGTAGCAATCCAAAGCAGTTCTGCTAAAATTTCTATTGAAACTCAGCTACAAATGCAAAATAGGTGCTCTTTTAAAACCATGCATGGCTGTTCAAAATAAGCATTTTATTTCCCATTCTCTTCTCCTCTGAACATTGTAAATTAAAGTCTGTATTCATTTTTTCACATTTTTTCTCATTGCCACTCCACTGACATTTGTGTTGTGTTTTTATCTTATTTCTTTTTTTTTAATCGCTTTACTCCATTTTCTAATCTATCAAACTTATTCTAAAATGTCTCTGTCTCTGTAGTGCTGGAAAGTACCAGTGGCATGAACTGAATTCTAAAATATCAGCAGAGGTACAGTGTATATGGGAAAATAGTATGACAAGCACTGTTGAAATACCCAAACAAAAAACATGTGTTACATGTCTTCGGAAACTAGGAAACATGCTTTTAACTAGTTCTTACTTTCATAAGAAAGGTGACCTGTACACAGCTAAATCCTAAAGTTTAAGATGACCAACCAGGCCTGGAGCAATTATGGAAGGGATTTCATGTTGCTATGGCAATGTGTACACAGTATAGGAATACAGAATGGGCCTGAATGCTGTTAAGAATTCATTCCCAGGACTGGAGAATTCTGGTTAGGGTAAGTATATACTAAGCAGGATCTTAAAAGAGAGATAGAATTTTAAAAGTAACAGAACATTCTTGACCAAAGAACATTCTTGACCAAAGATCATAACAAAAAGTACACAGAGTTTATAGACCTCTTCCACACATCTGGTCTTAGCAGCATTCCATGGTCACAGAGAACTATCCCATAACCCCTTTCATCTTCCTTGACTCTAAAGCTAGAACCATGTGGCCATAGCTGCCAACTTCTGCTGCTTGCTGGTGCTGGAACATGACCCCTCCCCATTCAGTTATATCTTCACCAGCTTTCTATTTTCAGTGGTTTCCTTCACTGCCTAAGCTTGGCTAGCCTGAATCTTAATCTGTAGACCAGGCTGGCCTCAGACTCAGACATCTGCCAGCCTCTGCCTTCCCAGTGCCAGAATTAAAGGCGTGTATCAATATACCTGGCTCTAAACTCTTTATTCCTCTTCACAAGGAAGACACTTGGTTGGATGGGATCTTGCCCTGAGGTCTCCATGCCCTTTCTTCCATTTCTTTTTTTCTTTCTTTTTTTATTTTTATTTTTATTTTACATATTGATCCCAGTTCCCTCTCTCCCATTTGGTGTTTTGTTGACTAGTTTCTTGAGTTCTTTGTGTATTTTGGAGATCATCCCTCTGTCAGATATAGGATTGGTGAAGGTCTTT